TCAGATATTATTATTTTTTATTACTTTGTTGTTTCAGCAACATTAAATTTAAAAACTGTACTTTTGAGTTAAAATATATATTTATAATTTTAATAAATGACAAATTAAAAAGGCATGAACATTTTTTATTTGTATCGAAAAAATACCGAACCGATCCGTGAATTTTGTGTATCGTTGCACCCCTAATATATATATATATATATAACGTATAATGTGTAATGCTGATAACGCGTGATCCGAGGTGCCGCAAAGTTAAGCAGCATGATTCATCATTTAGTGAGTTAATTAGTTCGACATTTTCCATTAAACGGTTCTCAAACTGAAATTAATATCTGAGTGTTTCTTAGTTTTAGTCTAGTGGGTTAGTCTATGTTTTTTTCCTTATTTAGTCAATTAAGAAATTAGTCACCAGGAACATCCATAGTTTGAATCTCAGTGACCTAAAGGTCAGAGGTCAAGTTTTCTGAAAACCTTGTGAATGTGATACTGAGAATTGATAGCATACATGGATTTACTAAAAATCTTGGAGGAGATCAAATCTCAGTGACCTCGACCTCAAAGTAAAGGCCAGAAAACAACTTCCCTGAAATCTTGAGGCTGATCCACAGGTGTGTCTGCTGGGAGGCTGAGAGGCAGTCGTGGCAGGTGTCAGTGCTTTTATATCACTGAATTCTTCAAAGAAACAAAACAAATAAAACTGTTCAAAACTACTGGCCCTGTGTGAGAAAGTATTTGCTGCCTCTTGTTAAATCATTAAGTAACGGTGACCAGCCACGTTCATGTGGAAGGCTGAGTTTCACCTAGCCAACCAGCAGGTTCGATTCAGAAACCTGTTTTGCCGTCAGGTAACAGCACTAACCACTTCAACCGCTGCTTATCCTGTGCCTGAAAAAGGCTTAAGATTCCTCAGGAAACTCAACTTAGTATCTGGATATAATGCAATGAATGCAGTGTTGTTTCATTGGAGTATGAGGATTAGCAGCTAGCCATAATAAGCTGACCATGTAAGGAAGCAGCTTCATTTGTGACAGACAAACATTGTGTGATCTGTCTGTTGTCCAGGTTTGAAGAGCATGTTCCTCATTTCAGTGCTGGCCTGGAAGTCCTGAACAGGTGTCCTCTCTCTCACACACACACACACACATTGAGTGTATTAGGAAGTTTGATATAAAAGTTGTGTTTATGCTTTTAAAATGATTATTTGTAGGTATGAGGAGAGTTGGTTTCTGCTGCATAAAAGAACGAAGGACTGTGCTCAGGCTGCAGAGGTACGAGGTATTTCTGTTTTTGCCTTGTTAGAAATCTACTGTCTCACGGCATCGTTCGTTTACCTAAATGTAAGAGGTAGAAAAACTAAAAAACCTCATTTAAAATTATTATTGTGTAAGTAAAACAGTAGGACTGAATGAGGGTATGATATCTCTTTTCTTTTTTCCACTGTTTGTCTGGAGTTGCTTGAATATCAGTTGTATAGAGTTTGCGACTGTGACATTAATGCAAAGCTAGGTCATTTTAATATTCATTAGTGACTGAAGAAAAGTTATCTCTACTTCTAAGAGTTATGTCTCTTAAAAGTAGAGAT